GAGAGAGAGAGAGAGAGATTATTAACAGACATAAAATGCTAATAAGCTGGGCGAGAGGTTAAGATATCGTATCGGTGTAAGACGGCTTAATAGATGGGTTGATCCGCGAGAGAATGAAATGGCGAACTGACCTTCATTCAATAAATACGTTTCAACTATTATACTAGTAATCTTGATTAAGAATATAAATTCGTATATAATACGAGTTATTAACTGATCGGTGAACAATCATCTCTTTGCAATGATTATCACTAATTAAGATTGACGTAAGGTTTTTATTTTTTTATCGAATTCTGTTTTAAAAATGAGTTGCTGATTTTTATTAATTTTAATTAAGACAATCAATTAAATGAATATTAAATTTTTATATCTTTTCTCAAATAGCAGATTATATTTTTTCAAGTAACCTTGAATTTTGAAATATTTAAATTTATAACATATAAAACACGTAAAAAGTGTAAAATTTATCTTCTTTGAAATGAAGAAAATAATATTAGATAATTATTTAATTTAATTTTATAATCGTGTTAATATACTCAGAAACATTTAAGGAAATTGAAGAAGGTATCTTTTTATCTTTCTTTACCTACAATTTGTTACAAACGAATGTCGATGTTATATTTGTTACAAACGAATCCGACGATATTATAAATAATTGATTTCTTTGTTAGCGGAACAGTGTACGTGCTTTGAAATCATAACTTAGCTTATTGGACTATTAACTCCGTAGCCTTTTTTTTTCTCTTCGAGATCCACTTTCAATATCAGCTTTACATAGCTAATCAAGTTAAGTGCTTTAATATATGGACTGAATTTCCTGGGAAATCAAATTTTTTTGCCACGAGAGATTTATCAGGAAGGGCGTTCCTAATTTCCGCGGATGCTTTTACCGCTTTTTATCGACATGAGCATTAAGCAGAGTAGAACTTGTATCATCCAAACTAACGAGGATCAAGACGATCCTTAGTACGACGATCCTTAGTAATGAACATTTACTAAGATTAGTTGAAATATGTCTGATCACTGTTGGCTATCCCGGTATATTGAATCTGTTTATATTAGATATCAGATTCTAATAGATCTAGTTTTTTATGAAGATTATACACACCTAAACGATAAAACAAATGTAATCTTTATTATACTACTCTTCGATCGGTCGACAAAAAATTAGAAAGAAGAAAAAGAATAATTCAATTAAATTGATGAAAGAGAATTGCAAAAATCTGGTTGAAAAATTTTTTCGGGAAAGCATGCGTGATTCACGGATTCCTTACAATACTTTACATTACAATTAAACAAGAATTGCACAATGTTACCTAACTGACGTAAGCGATCAAGAGGCACACTCGGCACATTTATTTATTTAAGATCGTTGGTAAACGAAGAAAGAGAATAGTCGCGATTTTCTTGATTCCTGAATATTAAGATACTGAATCATTCTGTATTGCTACATAGAGGATTAGAGGAGAAGAGGGGGTCAGAATATATAGGAGAGGAGGTGAAGGGTTGGGGGATGGTTGTCCTTGAGCGGCGAGAACCCTTCGTAAGGTATGGTACGGTAACATAAGGTAGAGAGGTGTGGTAGGGGATGTTGCAGCACCCTCGTTCTTCAATACAACTATCCCACCTCCTACCTGACCCAGTAGTCGTCCATTGAACACAGTGGTGGTTGCACCAGCCTGTTCCATCCGTTTTCTAAACAGAGATAGCAATTGTGTCACGCAATTCAAAATTAACGTAAAGATAATTGCAACAGATTTGAACGTCACGTTTCGTTGCTGCAATTTTTATATGTGGATTAGTGAACAATTTCTGATGACGAAATTAATGTGAATATTTTCTCGATAGATCGTAATAAAAAATTGTCCTCGTTTCGTGCAGTCTTTCGTCATTTTACAGATTCAGGTCCAATTTCTTCCGATATTCTCAATAAGGAAATCCCGTTGTTTGCTTTCGCTAATCACGAAGAAATCGTTAAGGATCGAGATTAAGATTGTATTGCGATTAAAGAGTGAGAATTCTCTCGTAACAATGAATAGTGAAATGGTACAGGTTTTTTCACGTTTAATCATGATCAAAATCAAAAGAAACTCTCCTTTGATCTTTCGTTATTTTAACTAAAAGCACATCTTTCTTTAACTTCTTTCTTTCTTTATCTTTAACAAGAACTCCCTTGTTGACACTTGCGAAGAATCATTGAGAGGAATTGACGTTGAAATAAATTCAAGGTATATTGTTTCTAAAGGACAGAAAAATCTGTGAACTCGTACTAGATTGTTTTGGACCACGTGAATTTTTATGTACTGTGCATTTGACATTGAATGTGAGAAGAGTGACGTGAATCTTCAAGGGTTGCAAGGAGACAATTGAGATTCACAATTGAGTCGGCAAGTTTGTCTTCGTCCCGATCGGACGATTCGGAGTCAGATTTTGGCTCTAGGCGAGAAATAGTGGACTCCTGCAGCGACTCGGAGGCTGAATACAATCAAGACTTGAACTGCTGGACAGATAGTTTCGTCGTGTTAATGAGCGATTCCTTCGAAGTGATATCGCTGCCGGCCGACATGATGCAGGTTTTTCATCTTTTACGCGACATTTACCGGGGTTACTGAAATATTTACGAAAAAATCTCAGATTTTTATCCAAGTTTATTTTTATTTTTATAGATATAACATGGAATATAACGTAAAAAAGAAAGAAGAAAAGCCATTTTATATATCTTTTTTTATTATATCCTATTTAAGAATTTACAATCGATGCTCTGAATACAAAAGAGCCAGTTTTTTTGACATTCTAATCTATACAGGTACCAATATAAAGTATAATATAAAGTAATTTAAATAATTAACAGTAAAATAAATAATGCTAATAACAGCATACTACAATTGTAATATTGTAATATCTTTAAATATTTCGATAATAATTTTATAATTTTATAATTTAATTTTTTAATTAGCACGTTTCGCACATCTATATATGTCATATAGATAATTCATAGAAAAAAAGAAAACATGCGAATGATTTGATGATATAATCTGATAATCTAATGTGATTTTAAATTTTCCATGATAGCCGGCCAGCTATGGGAAAAAGAACAACACCTGGTATACAAGCCCAGCGGGCGGCGGAGGTAGTAGGAGTGGCACCGGGACCGGAAGTGGGGTTGGAGGGTGGCAGAATAGACCGCCGGCGGTACCGAGTCTCAGCCGGAAGGCCTCCATCACTGAAGAAGCGCCACCCCCTGGTGGCGGAAAGCCTTCTTCGGGACGTGTCATTCGTATCGTCAACAATCATGATCATACTGTTCAGGTATGATGACCGGGAGTTTGGTTTATTGCATAATTTTTTTAGGATATATGTAATCTAATAATTAATCTAATAATTAATTTTAAAATAATCTTATTTTTTTCATCAGTGCCGAGTTTTATTGAATCTTCGTACATCACAACCTTTCGAGGAAGTTCTAGAGGATCTTGGACAAGTGCTAAAAATGAACGGGGCTAAAAGAATGTTCACTGTCTCTGGACAAGAGGTTAGTTATTCAAATATATATGGATTAAAATTCAAAAATAATACTTAAAACTTAGAAAAATGATTTTTCTGTCAAACTTGGAAGGTCTCTCTCTCTCTCTCT